TATTTATTTATTTGAGAGAGAGAGAGCACATGAGAGGGGGGAGGGTCAGAGGGAGAAGCAGACTCCCTGCTGAGCAGGGAGCCCTATGCGGGACTCCATCCTGGGACTCTAGGATCATGACCTGAGCTGAAGGCAGTTGCTTAACCAACTGAGCCCACCCAGGCGCCCCGACATTAAAAAATTTTAAAAATACCTTTCTAACCTAAAGGTGGAGTAGAATAAATCCAAAGCATGGCTATTCTAACAGTTCATTTAAAAATATTCATATGTAAATGGCGAAAATTAAGTTCAAAAACACAATTAACACAAATACTTGCTTACTCTTTAAAGAGGCAGTTTTATGGCTGGCATTAATAGGACCTGTATATGTGGTCAGGTGTATGTAAGGTTTATTCAATATACTCGATATTACTATCAATGCATATTCAACTGATAAGAAATTCCATGGCTAATAAATTTGTTCATTTATATATATACTTCTGTTATATAATAAATCTGTTCATTTATATATATACTCTTCATATAAATATATGATATCTATAAATTATAGATATATAACATACATATACATATTTTAAATACACTGTAACCTCACTGTAACACTATGCACTATCAGAAAAACACATCTCCTTACTCTACAGATTTATTTTAGGTATGAATTCAAAGTCCCACCACCTCATATTAATCCATACAATCTGCTATTAAAACCTTCCTTCCTCCCTTCTAACTACCTTCACGTCACAAATATTTGCTGCATGCCTATTAAGAATGGCTCTGGGGCAGACATGGGCCCAGTAGGTTTCAGGTTATCAGGGCAGACTCAGAGGTATTTATTTAGTATTTTAAAAATTCATCATAGCTACAGGAAAAACAACTCAGAGCTCATACCCCATGGACACCAAGTCTGCACATTATTCATGCTGAAACGGAACAAACCTTTAAAAAAAAATGTAGGAGCTTGTCATCCTTCCCTTTCGCTCCCACTACTAAGACCTATAGGAAAGATCCTATAATTGGTTCATTGTTTTCTTTACTAGTTTTTCAGTTAGATGTGGGCAATTAGTTAGAACACTGAGAACGTGGGAATCAATTGGCATTCAAGTCTTTATCTGTGACATGCAATAGGAAAAACAATTAGCAAGTTTATGACTTACATTTTTGTTTACAGTTGAAGAGCCAGTGTTAAATAAGTTCAGTGTTGATTACAGGCAGATATTCACATTTATAAAATGTATCTTTAGTATATTTTAATTTGAATAAGCCTGCTATATTTAAGATTGGAAAATTAATTTCAAATATTTGCAAATGAGTTAACTTTGAGAACAGAAATGAATACAAAAGCACAAGTCATGAATGCATTGCTGTGGAATTCAGGGTACATGCACACAGGTACGTATGTATTCATTTCAGCACTAAATTATTAACTTGCATTGTTCTAGAGCAAACTGGAAGGATTATTTGTGAATATGGCCCCTCAGCTCACAATATCTAATAATTCCTCTAAACGAGAAAATGCAGCACACAGAGAGGTTCTGCTCACCTCTTTGGCTATAGTTGTGATGAAGGCGGGTGGTCTGGCAGTGGCAATGAGCGAGAGGGCATGCCTTGCCGAGCGGGCGGAGTCAGCTGCAGGGCTAAGAGGCAGCCCCATTGTGATGCTAAACAGGGATCAGAAAAAAAGGAAAAAAGAAAAGAAGCATTAGAAATATAGACTGAAAAGATTAGACACAGCTTATAATGTCAGTTCAAGGTCAATGGGAGCACTCAAACAGTTAGAATATAATGGACTTGCAACAATGAGCAGTGATTAGGAGTCAGGGTGTTCTGGCATCAAATACAAAATCGAATAATTAACCGTGAAGATTGAAAACAGTATGTGCATCTGTCCAAAGTGTTAAAAACGCCTTGTTAACAAATTATCAAGAACTAGTACTGAATGCATATCACAAAGCTCAGAATCCAGCAAGAAAGAAGACTGTGCTGGGTATTTTCAAATTTTTTGCTAAAAACAAATTAAAGGTAATAATTTGCTTATAAGGCCACAGAAAAAGGGCTTTGTTTAAGGACGTGTATCTGAAAGGAAGAAAAATTCACTTCTGTCCATATAATTATCCAAAGAACTGAAAAAACTGCAAAATTATTTTTAGTTTTTAATATTATTTTTAGTTTAAAATATTCTCATACTGTTAATTTACCCCATGCTCAATACTTTTAGAACCAATCTACCAGTCAGCATGTTCTGCCAATAGTTATTTTGTATTGATGCAAAAATTGTATTAATGGATACTTATTTTCTCTCTATAAAGATCATAGGCATGACATTGTCCAGGCAATATATAAGAATATGTACATGATGAAATTAATCTTTCCAAACTGTGGGAGTATCCTGATAGAATAGTGATGTTATATTCCTTTGCCACCCCAAAACATAAAAGTGATAATATTCTTCTGTTTGTAAGCTTCCTGTATATTTTATATAGACTACTGTGAAAAGTAGTAAGACTTCATTAAAATGTGGCATGTGATCCACATGTCAACTGTATACAAGGAACATTTTGCTATTCAGTAAGAGATCCATTATAGTTTCTCTCTAATGTTGATACGTAAAAGTACATAATTTTGATACTTAAATAGCCATATGAAATTATATTAAGATTTGTCCTGCTCTAATTAGTCTGTATGCTTCATGTGTAAACTGGATTATGTTTACTAAAAATTCTCAAAATGTTTACAAATATTTCTATGATTAGTCTAAGAACCATTATTTTAACTTTTAGATGAAAATAAGTATGCATTACATAGGCATTCTTATCATTGTTAAAAGAAGGTAAATTGGTTATAAAAAATTCTGCTTATAATTTCTTGGTGACTACTACATTGCTTAAATCTTTAATATAACTGTCTCCAGTCCTTTTTCCAAACTGAGGGTAGATACAAAGCAGGAACTCAGAGAGGAGGATGGAGGTGTTCCTTTGATGTTTACCACTAAAAAGAAAGATGTGAGCTGACAGAACACACCCATATTGAACAAGAAATAGAAAGAATGCATGGGTGGACACGTCACCTCCACAGAAGATCTTGATGCCCTAGGCACCCAGTAGGGGCTGGAAAGACATGTTCAGCAGTAAAGCAAGGTGGGGTAGTTAGCCAGGTTCTTTTCGGGATTAAATTTTACTATTGAGAATTCCGCAAAGGAAATGCTATGTGAGTAGTGCTCACCTAGATTGCTCAAGAATTGTTATAAAGTTTTGATCGTATTTTAAGTTTTAAAAAATTCAAAAGCTAATTACACTTTTGAGATATTCTATGATGTTTCTCAAATCAGTATGAAAAGGTGTTGATTAATACTGAAAGGCTGAAACAAAAATGGTATGTTAGGGATGCCTGGGTGGCTCAGTCAGTGAAGCGTCTGCCTTTGGCTCAGCTCAGGTCATGGTCCCAGGGGCCTGGGATCAAGCCCGGCGTTGGGCTCCCTGCTCAGCGGGGAGTCTGCTTCTCCCTCTTCTCCCCACTCCTGCTCTCTCTAGCTATCTCTCTCTCTCTGTCAAATAAATAAAATCTTAAAAAAAAAAGGTATGTTAACTAAACAATTCTGAGCAAACCTAAATCAAATTTCCTAAGATCAATAAAATCACAGAATGCTGGGAGCTGGAAAAGATCCCCAGGCAGCCTCCCTGCCCAGCAGTCAGCCATGGAGCAGGAATGTCTACCTCCTGTGACAGCCCGGCCTATGTCTGGAAGGCATGACAGAGAGGAGAAAGAACAGGATGTGGAACCCAGGGTCTAGGTTTGAAATCAAGCTTTCCTGTGCTGTTTCACATCTTCTTGCACCTGCCCAGAACATCCCTTAGAGGGGGGTTGTATTGGCATTTTATGGAGAAATCAGGTCCATAGTGAGGAGCCAAGGTAGTAGTCTGATGTCTTCTTGGACAGCTGAACTTTGGAGAAAATAAAGGGGAGGGAGGCTTGCCCATATTGTGGTTAACTGGGTTAATGAACTGGTAACATGACTAAACTCAGCGACTTTGGATGAATGGCTAGATTGCATCCCTGAGTGAGGTTTCTCGAGTGGTATGTTGTAACATGTAGACTTCAACTCTGTCCTTTTTGATGTCAGTTGTGATTAAATGAAGACATGGATGCACAGTTCTCAACTGGTGTGGATATAAAGTTATAAAAACAACTGTACTAAATGGGAGAACTGGAATTCAAAAAGTCCTCAGAAAGATCAAATTGGGCTCAGAAAGAAGTCTTACGTGTGGGTACAAAGGACCAACTTTACAGGAATGGGACAGGCACTACACTGCTTGACCAAGCTTAGGGAACAGCACCGAGGGTTGTATGTGAACCACAGCTATGGATGCTAATGATGTGGCTGCCCTAAAGGGCTAGGTCATATCAAGGGAAACAGAGTGAAAGAGAACATGTTGCCCCTGCTGAACATGAAGTTCATGGTTCTGGCTGCCTGTTCGCCCTCCCCGTGGCTGTACTGCCTCTGAGCTGCTAAGAGATGGGATCTGCCTTCTGCAAGCCGAGTATAAGAGCATCGTCCTGGAGTCCAGGAGAGTCCCATCCAGTTCCTGCTGTGTGCTGTTGTGAGCGCTTGCAACTGGAAACCAGAGTTCTACTCACACAAACAGGATCCCACCAACCTCACCACCCACCTCTCTTCTAGCCCTTCTCTGTTCCTTCAGGAGGAGAAAAGTTTAGTGGGAAGCCAAGGCCGGGGGCCGGGGGGAGGGCGGGAGGGGAGCAACAGAAAGAATAAGAATGAATGACTCTGCGTATATGTGTTCACCTGAGGACGACAAATGGATACTGTCCCCCGTCCTTATGTGCCCTGTGGCCACCCTGTATTGAGTAAGCACGGTGTGTGGAAAATGGGTCTATTAAAGTAACAACTTCACAAAGGTGTCGAGACAATTAAATGAGCAGGCAAATGTAAAAACCTCCAGCCCTGCATCTCACCTATATTATACATACAATAGATGCTTGTTCTGACCCAAGATGACTCTCACGAATAGAAATAAAGTGAAAAGAAAATGAGATCAACTAACAGCAGGTCACTGGTTTCAAAGTTAAAGGCCCAGTCACACATCACCCTTAATCCAGCTCAGCAAATGATCTTGTGAATTTGGGTAAATCGGCAAACTTCTTAATGGTAAGAAAAATGTTAAAGTTTGGTGTCCGGAAGAGAAGCTGTAGGGTAATAGGTAAGGAAGCTAACCAAAGACATATAAAAGTATTGCTCATGAATTCAGTGGAAGCTGGAACATCCAAAAATTTGTAGAGGCGTCAAAGGATACGTTTGAGTGACTCCCATGATCAGCGTCCGATGGCTGGAGTGCAGGACTTCAGAATGTGGACACATCTATTGTTCTGAGGTCAGGGTTCTGCACATCCATAGTGCACAGGCAGGAGGGTTGGGAATTTGAGAGCAGAGAAGAGCTGCCAAGGCACAGGGGAAGAAGACAAACCTTCTCTCCCCTCTGTCTATTTAATGCATCACTGCCAGGGTCATCTTTCAAAAGCACTAACTTTATTTCATGGTTAACCTGCTTAAAAACCTCAGTGGGTCCCAGGGCTTCTAAGAAAAATCTTGAACTCCTTGGCTTGAGGTTCTAGTCCCTCCATAATCTAGTTTTACTAACTTGTAACTCAGTCTTTTCAATACCATGCTCCTGAGGCCAGGCTAATTGTAAGGTTGGTCCCTAAAATTCCATTCCTTTTTTGACTGTAGTTTGTGGCTTATGTTTCTCCACTACCCATCCCCCCATTAGCACACTCTCCTCCCTCCCCTCTGTTCGATTCCTGTGGAAGCCTATGTGTTATTCTGCAATTGCTAGAGCATTCAATTACAATCTATTGAAACGAAAACAACCAACAACGAAACCCATTTATTCTAGGGTCTTAGCACTAAATCTGATTCTGCCAGGCATTATGACTTAGTTTGCACTGTGAACTCTGTGCAGACTGGTACCATGCCTTCTAATCCTGTGATCCCCCCAAAGTGCCTAGTTCAGCCCTTGGACATAGTGGTAGCTCATTAGTTATGCGCTAAATGAAGTTACCTGGCAAATCCAGCAGGAAAAAAAAATCACTTAAGCCAGTTATTTGACTGAACTGACCAAGCAATGAAGTCAAAGTAATTGATCTAGTAGTCCCAACAGACAAAGTCTAATTCTACATGTAGTTATCTTGAAAGTCAAAGGTGCACTGTGTATGTGATATATTTTAATGTGGGATTCTAACTGAATGAAGAAGGATCATACTATCAGAGGTGTGAAAATAAAGGGGTATCTGCCTTATTCTGGAATCTGTATGTAAACACAGAACTCACTCTTTTCAGCTGATCCTGCTTATCTGGCTGTTATGCAGATCATTTGTTATATAGGTTTATAAGATGGGTCTTTAGTTTAAAAAATATGATATGACATACTCTATTTTACTCAGCATTTTAGTACACACATCGCATATGAAATATCAGAGATGATAGAAACTGTAAATAAAAATCATGAATAGAAAAACAGTCCACTCAGGCTGAGCTCATTCCTTACATGACTGCTCATTAATCCTGTTCTAACCATTACTCCATCGTGGTAAAAGCATTTTAAAAGTCACATGCACGACCGCTACAGTTAAATGTCACCATCTACAA